AAAAAAATAATCCATTTTTTAAATAATTATGAACAAATTACTGAAAATATAACTAATAATAATATTATTCTTCCTCCTCCTTCTATTATTTTCCCCTTCTTTCTCCTCTGCTTTCTCCTGTTCTTTCTTCTTGACATTTTTGAGACTGAGTCTCTAACTATGTGACTCAGCATAGCCTAAGGCTTAAGCAGTTCAGACTGGCCAGAAATTTGCTTTATAGTTCCGGCTAGTCTATAAACTCCCAATCTTCCTGCTTCCTTCTCCTAAATCCTAAGATTACAGGTATTTGTCACAATTGTGAAAAATTAATAAAATTTTAATACCAAAACCAGATAGACAGTGAGAGAATGAAAAATTAAAGAGTATTATTCTCATCCTTTAATACTTATCAGTGTAGATACAAAACTGAATAAAATATCATCAACTCTAACAGTGTATGTAAAAGATAAACTATGAACAAGTTGTGCTTATCCCTGGAATGTGCTTAGCTATATGAGGGTCATAGCTATAATTTATCTTCCTACTGTAGCCTAATGACACCTTTCCTATCTCTGTACTGTACCAAAGCTTGTTGCATTGGGCTGCTCACTTCAGTCATGTTAACCAGATCTTTTTTTACCATTAATCCCAGAATGCAACCTACTCAAAAACAAAACAAAACAAAAAACAAAACCCTGGACCTAAATTTACCATGATTCCAAGAACTCACTCATTAGTCAAAATCTAAGCATTCACTAACTTCTGCTCACTGCCCAGGGATTCTCCATCATAATCATTTCCTGTACATCATCCTTGCAATCTGTGCTTTAAAATCAATACACTTCCCTTTATTTCTATCTAACTTTTTCTCTATTTCCTTCCCATATTTGGTATAACGGATACCTCATTCTTCAGGGCATCTTTTTCTTTATCATGTTGAGGTGTTATCTATTATTTAATGATCATCATTTGGTACTTCCCTTTACCTAACACTAGTCATCACTTATTTCTATAAACATCTTCATCTTTTAGGCATAAGTAACTAGTGTGTGGCATGCTTTTCCTATCTGTGTAACTCAATTATTGGCTCACCAATCATTTCCCTCACTTACGAGAAACTGGACACTTGTTTTTGAGTCTTCATTTATACTTCAAGTCCTATCACTACGTTGGGTGTCATCATTCCAAAAGACGGCCATCACCTGCAAACATCATGCTGTTCCTTGACCTCATCTCATGGAAATGACCTATTTCACCTTAGCCATTGACTTCCTTTGCTCTCACATATATGTTGTTTCTTCCCAAAACATTATTGTAATTATATATTTACATGTGGGGTACTAAAAGATACAGTTCTTGTGTTTCTTCTAGACTCCACATTTCTCTCTTCATAGTACATTTCCAATCTATTAGTGTATTAACCCTCTTTCTGCTATCTTTTTCCCTCTTCACTTTTCTTATCCAGCTTCGCTTGAGTTAGGATCATCACTGCCCCAAATTTCCAAGCACTTGTTTGTTTTTAACTTATTTATTAAACAAGGCTCCTAAATACTTCTATTATTGTCATTGTTTTAGATACCGTGAATTTATAGTATAACAACCAACATTTTGAACAAGACTAGTTCAAATTTCTGCATTTGAATCCGAGGAGACAGAGTCTTGGTGGAAAACACACAATTTCATTCATTTATAACCAGTAACCTCAATGGTAAATACGCCATCTGGAAATCCCACCGTTTATTTGGTCAGCTTGATGACCCATTCTTTGCAACAAGTTTTGCAAATGTCCTTTTTCTCACATTTTTTCATTCTCCGATGATTCTGTAAACTTCATAGAAATCTGAAGGTATCAGGTATCATCAAGCCTAACACACCATAAACGTCAGCACCAACTTTCTCCTTACTCCGAATGAACTGCTGTGTTAGCAAGCATTCCTTCTCTAAAAGCCAGTGTTTATTCCCTTAAAGTTGACCTTCCTCACTTTCAGAGGAAGTTCAGATCCATATTTTCAGTTTCATAAAGTTGTCCTTTCTTGATTCTATATTCTCAATCATTCCTTTTCATCAGTGTCTCTCTTCTTAGTATATAACACCCAATTACCCAAGCATTAATCACTAGGTTTAGGAAGTCACTTTCTTGAGCTTCAGTTTCTAAACTGTCAGAGATAGATAGAGATGAAAAACACTTTGTAAATTGAAAAGCACTATTTAATGAGTGCTGATGCTGTTAGTTTGCCCCGAAGCCAAAGAATTAACTGACTTAACAAGATTCTGTTTTTGACAGATGTGGCAGTACAACTCAACTTTCTAGTTATTAGCTATGTATACTCATTTATTATCAGCTATTTAACAGTCTCAGATGACCCTAACATGTGTCAAGTTGACACAGAAACTATCTAGCACATTACTCAAATGTTTCCTCTTCCTAAATATGAACAATGCTTCAATTACACTCATCAGGTTAGGGTCCTATCAGTAAGCCTTTCCCCCACTTACAACACGAGTATTACATAAAAATCATTGAGACAACGAATGCAAAAGTGCTTTCAAAATGGTGAAAGCAAAGACAAACCAGTCACTTCTCTTTTATTGTTTGTCCTTAACAACAAATAAATCAAAACCTATTAATAGACCTTTAATAGCTTATCAATTTTTCCCAATATATTTGCCTATTGGGCTAAAATCAGAAGCCAAGAACAATTTCCTGGGCATATGTTGTGCAGTAGCTAATCTATATTTAGACAAATCTCTAAACGAAGAATCAACGAAGCTTATGAGCTTGTCATAGAGCTTGAGTTAATCCCTGCTGTGTTGGTCAGAATGTGAACTACTGATAGCTAAGGGACTTCAGGGCTTATGTAAAAGGAAGAGACATTTTATGGTCTACAGGAGCACAGCACAGGAAAGCAAGCAAGAGACTAAAAGGCAAACTGTGATAATTCTATATATCATACTCCCCTTCTGAATAGAGATTTTTTTTTCTTCCCCTTATCTTTTGATTTAGGCTTATCCTGAAAGTTAGGTTGACCAACACATGTAACAGAAATCCTATTTAGGAATTTCCAAGCCAGGGTTTGAGAACTCAGTCTCTATTTTTCTCCTGCTGGAATGTTCACGCTTGCATTACTTCTTGGACCCTAAGCATTATTAAATACGAAGGCACTCAGCCATTATGATGGGAGAACTCGAAGTCACCCTAAGCATCATAAAATATGAAGAAACTCAGCCCTTGTGATGGAAGAACTCGAAGCCAGATGCAAACCACACACAGAACTGAGATGCAATTGCTGGATTCCCAGTTGAGAGCTACCATCAATTGTCAACCATGAGCAAGAACTATCTTATATGTTTAACCCCAGTCTAGCCTCTAGACAATGGAAGTTATTACACCACCAGGTAGAGAACTCAAGTGACTTCTGTTCATTCAGAGAACCATGAGAAAAAGCTATGACATAAGTGGGGACAGTCTGTTAGCAACAGAAAACACAAGTAATGTCTTGCTGGCCATAAAGTAAATAAAATGAGCATCCAGACATGTCACTTAGGGAGCAAACATGGCAATACTCTTTCCAATGCATTTGTTACACCTTGCTTCCCTGTTCTGCCATCACCCTCAACTTTTGTACCTTGAAAAGAATTTCACCACAAATACATACAATAGCTTAAATTTGCTTTACTTTACAAACAGTGTAACACTACAGGTAGACTTGGCATTTACCTAATCATTTCTAAATAAAATGAATTTCATTTATTTGAGACAGAGTCTCACGCTGCAGCCCAGATTTTCATTGAACTTGAAATCTTCCTTCCTGGCTCAACCTCCAGTGCTGAAACTACAGTATGAGCCATGAAGGCAGGCTTTTCAGCTCTACCTTTGTGTTTGCATAGAGGACATTCTCCCCGCTAAATAAAATTACATCCTCTGTAATTTACTTTTAATTAGCATTTGGATTACAGTCCTAAACATTGCACATTTTCTTACAGATGCATCTATGCAAGAGTTTACCTAAGGTATGTATGTAGAGAACACAATTACTCAACTCTACAAGGCCGAATGGCTTCCTGAACACCTACAGTATGAAGTGGCTCTCATCACACCATTTTCATTAGACATGGAGATGTCTTAGTATTACAATCTAGTGAACATAAAATGGTACTGGTTATGGCCTTAGTCTCTTAGGCAGATAAATCTTTTCATTTATCTAGTCACATGTTCTTTAGATGCCTTGGGGTTTTTTTGTGTCTTTATCTCACTTTTCTAAAGAATCACGAACAGAAAGTTAATAAGCATCTTCATGCTCTTGGTATTTAATATATCTTGGTATTTAATACAGTGCTGAATTAACTCGAATGGTGCATCTCACTTTCACGTGTGTCAAGAAGTGTTATTAGCCTGTGGTTTTCTTTTCTCTGGCTATCCTCGTTTAGTAGGCTATATGAGTTTCATACAATAACCTAGGAAGTCTTCCCTCACCACATATGCTTTCAAAGTGTGGTTAAGATTCTGAACAGTAGTATTGCTTTAAAAGAGGGGTAAAAAACTGAGGCAGGTGTTGACAAAAAGAAATCATAATTTGTTTACTATTCAGTACTACTAGACAGATCTCTTTAGCATCTGTATTTAACAAATATAATTTCGTCTATTTGATCTAAATACTTTGTCCATTTAGTTTGTTTGTTTACTTTGAACCAGGGTCTCACTTGTCTTTGTTTTGTGATGGGGAACAGCCCAGGGCCTGTGTCTGTGAACCGCGCAGAGCTATTATTACTTACCATACTCACCCCCCTCTAATCTCTTCCTTTATTTGTACTGTTCCTTCCTAATCTCCTTTTCACTGGGCTGTTTCACCGCCTGCCTCTTTTTTGAGAGGGTACCCTTGAGAGTAACACACAGTGAAAGAATCTAACTTAACATGAACTTGGCAGCAGGCACTCAGAGCACTTTGCTTCTAACCGCCCTCCTCTTTCTTCTGAACCAAATTTTCCCAGTTATATCCTTATTTGAAAATTCCACAGCAAGGTTGCATAACAATATTTATTCAGTTTTACAATTTCTATAAATACTTCATTATGATTGCTTTATATAAACAAGACTTTAAATTTACAATATTGATCATTTTGTTAATCAACACTTGATTTCAGACCTTGCTTTTGGAGTAATTTTCCTCATTGAAGACTATCCCGTCTCAGTTTCTTTAATGAAGGTCTGTTGGTTCTGAGTTTTGCTTTGCCTGGTTTTTACAGTTCCACTCAAGTCTGAAGGCATTTCCTGCTTCCTTGTGTACACTGCTGCTACTGGGGGTCTACTCTGTATGAGACTGACTTGCCTCTGCTGAAGAGCTTTCTATCCCTTTGGTTTTTTAAACCAATTTTGTGGTTCACTACTTGGATAAATCATGGATTTTATTTTTTTAAAATGTGTTTAAGCTATATTGTTTCTTGAATTTATAAATGTTTTGATAACATGTGTGGCGAACCCTGCCATCTCAAGTGCTGCCTCTCTTTCATTTTCCCCACCTGGTTCTCCTAGACCATCACCCATTCCTTCTCACCTCCCTCCTGCTGCTCTCCCTTCCACTTCACTGATCTCTTCCGCTGTGTCTGCTACTGCTGACCTGCCTGCAGTTTGTCCTCTTCCTTTAAAGAATGAGGTCCTCATTCTAAGGAGCACTACCTGGCTCTCGTCCACATCTATGGCTCTATCCTTTGTTCTCTACATCACCGTTGTGGACTTGGGAGAAATGACTCCAATGACTATTTTCCTATAGTTAATTCTCCTGCTGATTCAGTGTATCTTGTACCCCATAACTTACAATCATGAATGAAAAATACTGTTTGATCATAATTTATGGGAGTCTTGGGTCTAAGTTAGGAGTTTACTAGTTTGTTTCTGCCAGGATCTACACAGAACTGTAGGGTGAGAGCTACAGAACATTAACTGCCCTACCTAGGTCAGCATCTCTGATTCACATTTCTGTTTCTGGTGTGAGGCCAGCAGCATACTGCCATGCTGTTACTAGCGCCTGACACCCAGGAAATCACTGTCCATTTGTATGCTTAAAATAGTATTCATCGCCTCAAACTTAAACCACGTCCATAAACTGTTGTGACTGAGTGCATACTGGAAATGTCCTCTAAGATGAACTGTTCGTAGTTTACATATTTTGATCAATGTGTGATGTCATTCAGTAGGATTAAATTCTAAAATAGCTCACATTTTGACTCTTCTGAAGATAAATAATAGTGATCTGTTACATGCAACTCCATTTAGATGCATAGTTTACTTTTGGAAACCTGGGCCCGATAATAAAAGCAGGGAAAATGAGGCAGCTGGTGATGTCATGTAAGTCAGAAACACATCTAATAGACATTCTCGTAGCGGAGCTTAAATGCAGGCGGGACATTAACATCTTTAGTTTTCATAGCTGATGATCAGTGTGTTCCGGGTGATCAGGAAGCTCTTTGTGCCTCACCCTAATCACTGAAGTAATGGAAGGAGATGCCGGCCGCAAGGACTGCAACTGCAATTGCTGCAATCGCACCTAGAAGTGAAACAAACACAAAACAATGGAAGTGGAATGAGCAGAAGAATGGCTCAGCTGACCCTCAGGCTCTGAAATGCTGGTAACAGATGGGCCTATAGACACTACACACAACAGACGTACACATACTACAAATATGTACCAATATGTACATACGAAAATTTAGAGAAGTCTTAAAGGAAAATACGGTAGTTCATAAAGACTAGACAAAGTGTCTCTGACACATGCACACTAACAGAAAACAGAACAAGTACTTTAGAAAGCTTCTGTAAATATATGTGCGTATGTATGGACATACGCATACGTATAAGTACACAGAGACATACACTTATACACACATACCAATATGTCAGTTGTTTCACACTTAGGTCACACTGAAACACAGATCCGGCTGTAGTGCTTCTCAGTCATTATAACGCACATTTATGGTGTAGCTACTGCCACTTTCATCATACTCAGCAAGTACTGCCTTAATCTAACTGTTGGTGAAATGAAATTAATTCTAGGATAAAAAGAAAACTCAAAACCAATTCATTTTTCAAAATTATAAAAAAGCAAATACCTATGTTTTGCTGAATCTTTGATGCGATTGGAGTTTCATTTGGCTGCTGTGGTTGTTCTTCTCCCGTGTCAGTCAGGGGCGCTTCACTCCTCACAGACGAAGTCACACAAGCTGCAAGAAATCAGAACGAAGCCTACATGAATACAGAACCGCCATTTTAAGTAATATAATAAAGAATATACACAATCAATAGCATTTTCCTCCTACTCACCTATTTTTTTTTAAAGATCTGGATTTTCACTGTAAAAACTGTTTTATTTTATTGTTATGTGCACGTGTATTTGCCCACATGGATGTCTGTGCTCTGAACTGAATCGAGATCCTCATAAGAGCAGCATGTGCTCTTAGCCAGCGTCATCCTTCCTGATCCCTGCTCATCTTTTACATAGCATGAATCTGTTCTTTACTGAATGTAGGTGGGCTAAATGTCACGGGATAGAGATCACCAGAACACGTGACCTACACTGAAGTGAATGACTCCTGTATTCATTCAGTTCTCAAACTAAAATTGGATTACAGAAAGAAAATAAGAGAAAGAACCTACTTGGACTATATTATGTAAAAGGTTTTCTATTTGGCCTAATGCAGAAAGAGATTATTGACTTTTAATCTCTGAAATTTGACATACACCAGGGAAATATGATTAGAAATTCTACCTTACAAACCTCTGAAAGTTAAGGAAGGCAAATACTGTATTACATTTTACAAATCCTAGCAGGGAAAGCATGAAGCTGAAGATTCTAGGTAGTCGACCTAAGGTTTGTAAATTGTTTTTCATATTGTTTTTTAAATGGCAGAAAAATAGCTATTTATCTATCTATCTATCTACTTATTTTTGGTTTTTCAAGACAGGGTTTCTCTGTAGCTTTGGTGCCTGCCCTGGAACTAGCTCTTGTAGACCAGGCTGGCCTCAAATTCACAGAGATCCGCTACTTCTGCCTCCCAAATGCTGGGATTAAAGGCGTGTGCCACCACCGCCCAGCTAGAAAATAATTTTTAAAAGTTGTATTTGTGTGTGTGTGTGTGTGTGTGTGTGTGTGATATGTTGTGGGCATGGGTGGGGGTGCACATGTGCCAAGGTAGGCACATGGGGTCTGAGGACAACTTATAGGAGTTTGTCCTCCTTTAGCCTAGGGCTCCTGAGATGGACCTGATAGTCAGACTTTTACTGAGCCATCTTCCCAGCCCAAATATAAGTTTCTCTTCATTATGCTGGCAATTATTTATATACACTTGCCTATCTAAATTTACTTAACACCAACTGAAACTGTTAGACCTTGTAACATCTTTAGAGATCATACAGGCTAGTGGCTTTTGTTTCTCCTTCCACAGTGCTAAAGAATCCTATGAAAACAAAATCTGCCAGGAAAATCATTATATGAAAATCAGAAGAAAGCAGCATTGTGCAGGCTGTGGCAGGAATAGAGAGTCCTGGAGGAGCCTGGCCAGACTCACACGGACCCCCAGAAGTGGTGGTGCGGTACAGTGCTACAGAATTGCAGAACTATGCTCAAAAGAACTATTTCAGGTCGATCCCTTCATTACCAACAACAGAGTACAGCAGTGTGTGTGTGTGTGTGCGTGTGTGTGTGTGTGTGTGTGTGTGTGTGTGTGTGAGAGAGAGAGAGAGAGAGAGAGAGACATAAAATAGGACATATTGAAGTGTCTGCTTATATTTAAACACCCTGTGTCTATTTAAAATGGTCTTTGTGTATATATCCCATATACAAGCATAGACACATAAGGATGGCACATAAATGTATTTAATAGGGATCTGTGGCATCAAAATGGAAAAAAAAAAGTGTGTGAGGCTTTTATGTACTTCATTATTTTCCTATCGGTATCAACAGCAAGTGCCATTACCAGCTGAGCCATCTTGCCAGCCACCCAGTAACTGAACTTTTTCAATAGATGAGTTCCTTACAGTCAACAATTTATCCATAAATACACACCATTAGTTGGGTGTGGTGCTGCCACACACCTGACATTTCAGTAGTCAGGAGGCTGAGACAGAGCAAATTTGAAGAAAACAGATCATGCTTTAAAAGGAAGGGCCAGGCACTTGAGATACAGCTAAACGGCAGTGTGACTTTCTGCCATGCACAAGGCTCTGAATTTCATTCCTAGTATCACAGTAAGTAACCAGGATTATTTATTTTTCCTTTAAATTATTAATGCTTCTCAGGCATGTGAGTATGCGTGGAAGTAAGGAGTTCAAGGCCTGCCTGAACCACATAACAAGTCATGTCTCCAAAGATCAAGTATGGGGCAATAGCTCAGTAGTCGGAAGCTTGCCTAACATGCACAAGGCCCTGGATTCAGCCACGGAAAACAATAAGTAAGGGATATTTGGTAACAAAGAATAGCTGGTTCCAGTGCCAGGACAGAACTGACAAAGAAGAGTTTCAGCAAATTTTAAAGGTGTGTCTTCAACTTATTTTTATCTGATAATAGACAAAGTACATCTGAATTATTAAGTTAATGTCTATGATATGACTAACACATCCAAGAAATTTTAAAACCATGGTTATCCTTCAACATTAGTGAGTCATTTTAACAAACAATTTGTTTTTTATCCCTTAAGTCATTTAAAAGTATGTTACTTGAAGATACTTGGCAAAACATTTATTTTTAAACATAGCAACTACTTGACAACTACATTATAGACCATACAGTAACAGTCAAACAAATAGTAATTTCAAAAACTTAGGAATAACACCAGATATTTGGAAAGCTTAATATCCCTAAATGCATAACTCACTTCCACTTCTGAATGTGAACCTATTTTCAGGGGCTCATTGTTTATACAAACCCTGATTTCAGATGCTTCTGGAAATCCAAGTATATTATAAAATATTATGTTCACAATTTAATATTCATGTTTTTATTAATATGCAGAGGAAATTATTTGATAAGTATCCTACCACCCACCATTTATATGTATTACTTTTTAGAAAATATTCCCAAAGGAATCTGGGTCTAGGAAGGCCTTAGACAGGTCCTACAGCTGTAAGTGACAGGCCGAGACTCAAGTCAAATCACACCATAGCTTGCATTATGCATCTAAAAGATAAGCTAAAACTACACACACAATGTCTTCAGGTAAATAAAATAAAAGAAAGAGAAATTGAATATAACCCCAAACAAATAAGAAGTTTAGCTTAAAACCCTTTATATATGCATGAAACTTATAGTTTTATTACCCTATCCCCAAATAGTAAAGAAATATTTTCTATTTAAACTATACAGAGTTACTAAATTAGCCCTTCCAATTCAACAAATTCTGAGTGAGGCAAAGCTGATATAATTCTAGATAATAATTTTTATTCTTGGCTACCTCAGACCAGTGTTCAGCTCCTAAAATGCCTGGTCACGTCTACTTCATTCTTTATTCAATATCAGCTTAAAGTCAAGAAATGTCCCTGAGTCCCACACAGAGAGAACGCATCTACCATGTACCTAGTAATCTGTCCACTTTTCTATTACAGACCTAATCGTCTTCACAACAGTCTAGGTCTTTGTACATTCTACTGTACTGCAAGATTCTTGAGAAGTACTACTATATTCTCTCTTTAAAATTCTAATGTTCAATAAAGTATAGGCAATCAATACATAATAAATTCTTAGCTTGATTATAATTCATATGTCTCAAAGGGTTTTACACTGAATGGTAATATTGCCACTGCATTACTCATTCCACAGAAAAATATGCACATCTAGAAAGTCATTGTTTCCTATCAGTGTAGTTTCTATACTACATATTCTATAACTGAGTATCCACACCCAACTTTCAAACTCCTCTTGTGTTCCCTTTGTTACTGTAATAAATAACATTCAGGTAACCCATCTGGGATGGTAAGCATTGCTGGTCAACCTGACAGTATCTAGAATGCTAGGAGACAAACCTCCAAGCGCACACACGAGGAATGACCTCAATTCAGTCACCTAGGATGGAAAGACTTACTGTAAACATGGGTGGTACTATCCCCTGAGCTTGTACCCTGGACTGCAGGAAAAGTAGAGAGCTAGCTGAGCGTCCATTCACTGTTCTTTGCTTCCAGACTGCAGACACCATGTGACCAGCTCTCTCAAACGCCTGCCACTGTGACTCCCCCCAGGACAGACTGCACTCCTGAGCTGTACGCCACAGTAAGTCCTGTCTCCCTTTACTTGCTTGCCAGGCATTTTAACCAAGATGTCGTCTTCACCTTACACTGCCAGAGTAAGAAAAAAGATAAACAGGAAGAAAATCAAAATGCAGTGAGGTATAAAACTACATTTCCAGTTGGGAATGGTGGCTAACACCTTTAATCTCAGCACTTGGGAGGCAGAGATGGGTGTATCTCCATGAGTTCAAGGCCAGCCTGGTCTACAAAGTGACGTCCAGGACAGCCAGAGCTACAAAGAGAAACCCTGTCTCGAAAAACCAAAACAAGAAAAAAAGAAAAAACAAAAACAAAAATAAACTACCCCCCCAAAAAACACACCACCTCCAATAACAACAGCAAAAAAAAAAACAAACAAACTCTAAATTCCCAAGCTACACTTATAAAAGTTAAAACCTACAAAAGCAGATACATGAATTACTATTTACATGCTACCTAGGACTACTCAGTTTTTAACGAGGGATTAAGTACAATTTTATCATGAGTATTTAAGATATTTTATATTCCTTGGATCATGATATTAATATTTAACAATGCTAAAACAAAAGATAAAATATGGCCCACGGGGCAAGCACTTAATTCTGATATTAAATAAAGTGTATTGTTTTGAGGTCTAAAAGTCATTTCTTTTCTTTTTGTTTCTCAAAACAGGGCTTCTCTGTGTAGTCACCACAGTGAAAAATAAAGGCAATAATGAGAGAGAACATTAGAACACTAAAACTGGATGTCTCTTCCCACCTTTAAGGAGTAGGAACGGAAATCAAGGTCTTATTTCGTCATCTAGACTGGCAGGCTCAGGACGAAGACAAGACTCAGTGGCCTTGGTGTTTGCACACCCTCACCCTGCTACACACAGGGAGGGCATGGTAATGAGAAAAACACCAGCACCCTTGAGTCGAGACTGACCATCTGACAGCAAGGGTAGATGACCACTGACTGCACTGACCCTTGTTATACAATACACTTGCTAAAGAGAAGGAAGACAGAACTTTAGGAACCTAATCTACTGTCTACTCAGAGTACTGGCTCTCAAGAAAAAAAAATACAGTTTAAAGATAGAAAAAGAAAAGCCTTGTAGATCATATACTTACGATACGTATTGCCTATGTTTGCAACTTTTGTTGTACTGTTCTACCTGAGAAGTTCCAGGCTGGCCTGAAATTCCCTGTGTAGTTCGGGCTGGCAGTTCCCTGCCTCAGCCTCCTGAGTGCTAGGACTTAGGGACTAGCACTTAAATCTTCCACCACGCCTGGGGAAAAAAAATTTTTTTCTTATTGAATCACCAATGAAGTAACTGTAGACCCTAGCATTCTGATCATTATTCTTAAGTAGTCCCTAGGTACTCTGAGGATCTTACTATATTCTCTAACATCAGTCTATCTTTTAAATCAGAGTAGAGGATATTGTTTTGTTTTGGTTTGTTTGGTTTAGACAACAGAAATCTTGTTTTCTCATTTTGTGGGCTAGAAGCTGAATATCAGGGTATGAATACTTTTGATGTCTTCTAAATACACCCTCCTCGGCTTGCAGATAACTGCTGCTTTCCTTTGTCCTCGCTGGTCTTTCCTTGCTGTACAATCTTTTTTTGTACCCTCTATATGTGTCAGTGTCCTCCTGTCCTAAGGATGCTGGCACAATTTGGTTAGGGCCTATGCTAATGATATCATTTAACAAAATCAGATTTTAAATACCCCCAAATACAGTCATAATCTAAAGTACTTGAAGTTAAAGCATCAATCAACATATTGGAGATGATGGGTATACAATTCTACTCATTCTGGTAATTAATTTTTAGGATGATCTAGTAGATACTATTTGGTAATGGTAATAAACAAATGTAATTTGTATTATGATAAAGAAATTTTATTTCTTTAAATCACTAACCTGTTGAAAGATACAAGATTTGTGTATTTGTGTATTTCCTAGCAAATACACAAATATTTTCAAGATGTTTATAGACCTTCTGAGCCAATATAAACTTTAAGAGTTTTGGTCATCACAGGTTAGAAATTCCTAATCTAGAAGAAGGAAAATAGGTAGAAAACAAAACAAAACAAAAAATATTGTTCAGAAACTATACCAAAGAGAATAAAGTGTGTGGGACTATTTGGCTCTAAAATATTTAGAACATTAAATTTAGAAATTTGAAGCATGAATGCAGCCAAGAAGCAATGTAAGTGTTTTATGGATCCATATTCTTGAACAAAGTTTAGTTATAGGAAGGCTGACTGCTACCCAGAATAAAGAAGAATAGAATCTGTGTACCCCTCTTCTTGGGATACAGATCTATGTATTAAAAAGAAAAGATGAATTACAGAAACTCTATTGATACACTCACATTTCTGAGATTCATTTTGGACCCAGCAGTTCTCACCCTGTGGATGCATATCAGACACCCTGCATATTAAACTGTTACAAAACTACAGTTATGAAGTAGCAACAAAATAATGTTAAGGTTGGGGTCACCACAACAAGAGGACTGCATTAAAGATAACAGCACTAGAAAGGTTAGAGACCACTAATTTAGGTTATGGTTAACAGAATGGCTCAAGAAACATCATTAGGTACTAGAAACCAGGAAGTGAACACAACAAAATCTTCCTTCTCCCCATGAGAGTTCTGCTGTCAATGGACACAATGTAGCCTCACAAGGGAAGAGAGTTACAGTAAGGGACTATTTGGATCAAGTGGGCCTGTAGGCATGTCTGTGACTGTCTAGACTGCCTGAGCTGATGTAAGAAGACCAGGCTGAAGGTGCCCTCTCCTGGTATGGAGCCCTGAATTACAAAGTAGAGAAAGCTAGTTGAGACTAAGCACACATGCATACATTACTCTGCTCTTGCCTATGGAGGAGACAGGACCAACTTCTGTCACGATGATAAACTGTAAACTATGAGCTAATATAAACCCACCTTACTGCTAAGTTGTTTTCAGTCAGAGTATATAATTGCAGCAACAGAGATGAAGTAAAACATCATCATTGGAAGTAAAGGGATTTTAATGAACATCAAACATTCGGCATTCTCATTTTTACCAGATCATTTCTTGGGGAAAAAAATGTCTCTCTCTCTGGAAAATTTACATAGACTACGTAGCCTCAAATTCCTAGGCTCAAGAGAGCCTATCATTTCACATTTTAGCCTCTTGGATAGCTGTAATGGCACAGAGTCCTCTGGCTCCACTATACTTTCTGTTTTAAAATTTTTTCTTTCTAAAGACTTATTTTTATATATATGAGTGTTTTGCCTGCTTAAATGACACATGGCTTTACCAAAATGAACCCTATACTCTCCCCTGATGGGGACTGGGAATTAATGAAACAGAATTGAATAAGAAGAAAAAGAATTTTTAAAATTATTATTCATATTTAATAAACATTCATATTCAAAAGTAACCCAGACACTTTCTACCAAACCACAAACTTCTAAAATAAGCTGTTCTTTACTCAGTACCTACTATTTACAAATAATTTTATTACATAATATTTAGAAATATCTATTTGGACATTTCTTTACATATACATTTTTATATCTTATACTTATTGAAAAATAAAACTAAAAGGCAAATCAAATAAAATCTCCCAAAGGTCAGGTCAAATGAGCAAACAAAGGCTAGCGGAATCACTGGGCGACACAACTGGACAGTATCAAGGCTATGCTCTACCCAAGCCATCTTTATATGATTTCTTCAGCTGCCCACCTTACTTTAGTGTCCCCCTTATACAACAAGAACATAAAAAAATGACAAATTAAACAGGGAAAATTATCTAAAATGGTTTAAGAAAAACTTTTCTCATGTTGAAATAAATTCTTGAAAGCTACATATTTCCACACATTTAAAGCCGAATTTGTCTCATGAAGATTCACTTGCTAGGCTCAAAAAACACTCCATGTGTTTGGGTAGTTTCCAAAGAAAATGCTCATTGTATGTTTTTATGTGTAGAGATCTGTCATATGTTTGTGTTTGTAAACACTCAGTTAATAATCTGAAGTATTGCCAGGTGGTGGTGGTACACGTCTTTAATTCCACCACTCGGGAGGCAGAGGCAGACGGATCTCTCTGTGAGTTCGAGGCCAGACTGGTCAATAGAGCGAGTTCCAGGACAGGTTCCAAAGCTACAGAGAAACCCTGTCTCAAAAAACAAACAAAAAAATAATTTGAAGTATCAAACAGAATTAGCTTTAAGAAAACAGGAAGGCATGGTGAATTTAGATGAGGTCTAAGCAGATTTTAATTACCTGTGTTTACTTCCTCTGCAATTTCCAAGTCTTCTACTTGAATCTCATGATCTAACATCTCTGAAAAATGGTCTCTGATTTCTTCAGCCGATTCATCACCAAATTTATAATCACATAACCTTATAGCGGATCCAGGAAGGGGAATGAAAACTCGGTGAGGAAGTTCATAATCTAAAAAGAATATTACATTATCAATATTTAGATATATCAGCTATTGGTATTAATAAATATTTACTTCAAAAAACATAAAAACACCTGTTTGAAATAAAAATGACTTTGAACTTTCTAGTTGATGAAACTGCTTCTATCGAGTTCTGTCTTTCCTCAATTTCCCTTGCTTCTTCAAAAGAACCTAGATAATACACCTATGAAACATACAACCCTCCTTGCCTTTAATGTAGAGATGTTGCTAATCACATGTTATCATAAGACCCACTGTGTGCTACGATGGAACACTCAGTCAACTTTGTAACTCTCCTATAGATTGCTGACTTTCTTGTTTTAACCTTGCAAGTATTGTGATTTTTTTATTGCTTTTTCTTCATTAATGAATGTTTGAGGTCAATGCAAGAGCCTTCTCTGATTTTGCCTCCCCAACACTGAATAGAAGCCCATGCCACAACATCTGGCTTTGTTCTTGGGACTGAACTCAGGGCCTCATGCTTGGAGCAAGCACTTTTTCTCAGTGAACATCTCCCCAGAATCCATGTTTCCCATTTCTTTGGATACTTGCAAACTAGACTATACACCTCTAAAAAAAGTTACTAGCTACATAAATATAACTGCTGGTTAACTCAAAATGTGACTCTAACAAACTAACACAGAAGTAGACATTTTTGTAAATAGTAATCACGTCTGCATCAGATATGATTAAAAAGTTATCAATGTAAAGATCAAGCAGAAAATTGGGGTCATTCTATTTGTAACCTACACTTCCTCTTCAAGAAACTAGGATTACTTTATATAATTATAACAGAAGATGCTAAAGTATTCCTTAAGTGTCATGGGAAATTCGGTGACATAAACTACATGATTCTTCCACTTTCAGTGTATGATCTCATTTGTGTAGAACTGGAAGAATAATTTTACTCTTTGACCACACTGCCTCCTACTGTTAGAATTACATAACAGCAGTTTGTACCACAGCATGCAAAATTAGGATGATGGTATATTTTGAACCAAACATACTTGAATATTAAGTCAAAAATTTGAAAATGGTTATAATATTCATGGATAACTGACACGTAAAATCTTAAGCACACTTCAAATTTGGATTCTATGTTTGCCCAACTAAAGAATGTTACAAAAACTGAATGTCAAAGAGTTAATTGCAATGCATATAAGTACTTATTAAAGAAGAAAATCAAAACAAAACATTTAGAATTAGAAATTCACCCACTAGCAGAAAAGAAGGAATGGAGACACAAAGGTATATTTTCCAAAGCATACTTAATATATGTTTTGGGTACGAAACTATTTTAATACAAATCACTAAGATGTAAAACATAAACTATTTATGTTTCCCCAGAGATGGAATTCAACCATCAGGAACCTAATCAAGTCTGCTAGAGAAATATCTAGGAAATATAAAACATAACAGTGTACAAACAGTACCTTAGAAAACCCACTACACAGCAAACACTAATAAGTTAATATTTGAGTACACCTATGGTGACTTGAAACCTACAACACCAACGAAATCTTAAAGTCAAACTGCTGACACTGTTCACTCTGGAAAAGTAGTTCAATTAGAGGCAATTATTTAAAAAATCCTCTCTGAGAGGGGAGACAGGATGCAGCTATATAAAGAATCAAAGAGGAATAATGGAATAGAAAGGTTATATGGGGCAGGAATGGAAGGGGGAAGAGGAGGGAATACAGGAAAGGATAACACACACAAAAGACATCATATGAAAACCCAGTACTGTAGATGCTTCCTAAAGTATTTACATGCTCACATATAAAAAGTTTGGGCAATGGTGCCTCTGCAAATAAAAAGTCTGGTGCTGGGAATGGGTTGCTTCTTTTGGAGTTACTGGCGAGGAACATCCCAGAAATCCCTAAACAGCAGAGGCTTTTGCTGGTATTCTTGTCTGCTCACCATGACCTCACTGTCAGACCTTATTGCTGAGAGCATGAAGAAATCAAGCAGGTGCTCATATGAAAGCCTCATTCTTACAGACCAGATTTCACAGTACTAGAAGATGGTTTGCATGCTACTCGATGAAAAAAAAGAAATCAATCTTACTCTGCTGTGAACGCTGCTAGCTACAGTGACAACTGGCTTGGTAAGGCATGTCGACTAGTGCCAAAGGCACTGAGTCATGTGGGGAACCAACCAGCTTCAGACTGGACTTAAAGCTTACTCCAGTTTGGAGCTCACATCTGGCACTGTTGACAGGGCCAAGAACCTCTGGCTGGCTAGGACAGAGGCCCTAGATGACTACTCTATATGCTGTTGAACCGGCATCACATTAAACGAACCCCTACTGACTTATTGTTATACCAATAGATTAGTGTATCTCTCAACCCTCATCAGAGAAGTCTCTTTTGTAATAAATGGCAATTATCACAGAGACCCACAACCAGTTGTGGTACTGAGAAGGAGAGATTGCAGAACGCTCAGGCCTACGTGAGGCATCTGTATCACACACAACCCTGCCCAAGGCTCTTATTGCAGAAGAGGGGCAGAAAGACTGTAAGAGCCAAAGATGGTAGACGACTATAAAGAAACAGTGCTTTCCGGACATATAGGGCAGCCGCACAGATGAACACAGAGCAACTGTGACAGCATGCACAAGATCAGCACAAACTCAAACACAGAGAAGGGAAGCGAGCTAAGGGGGCTCTTGCAATTGATAGCTGCTGAGAGCAAAGTCAGTCTTCTCAAAGGTGTGGCCCCTAGAAGATTAAGTAGGCTCCAGTGCAAGACAAGACATCCAAAAATACATGGGCAGCACAAACTAGCCTCGTGTGTTTAAAAAAAAAACAACAAACGAATAAATCTGGAGGGTAAGGAGGACCCGGGAGGGGTGATAGAGGGAGTGAACACAGTGTAAACACATTGTAAGAAATGCTCAAAGGACTCATTTTTAAAAGGAGGAGAAAAGGATGCAGGACATTAAAACAGTTTTCCTTGGAACTGCTAAATATTGATAGCTTTGCTAACAGAAAATGTTCAAAACACAATGGTGGAGGAGGGAGAACTGAAAAGATTTTACTCAGCAATAAAAGTCAAAAAATAACTTACTATTATAAAACATGCTATAGAAGATGACATACATGTTAAATCTTGATTATCTTACTGTATGAAACAGAACAAACACAAAAAAGTACTTATAGTCATACTTTTTTTTTCTGGAGTTTCATTCAAAAGCAGGTCCTCAAAAAGTATTTCACAGCGATCAGCAACTGTGTTCAAAATATCTCTCTTCACTGCCTATGGGGAAAACACAGTAAGAAATAAAATAAGTGAAAGTTGAATCATTTCATTACAAAAAAAAAAATCCTCATGATTTGCTTTCGGGGACAAGAATGTCCACTCAATAACTGGCACGTTCTTCTACTTGTTCTTCTCATACACTCAGCATAACTATTACTATTAACACAGTTGTAGTTTAATTATACACCTATGTAACCCACATTTAAATAGTAAATTAAAGTCAAATAAAGAATTAAAGTTTGTATATAAACAAAATTTTCCAATATTCTAAATCAAAAATCAGAAAATGTAATATGATATAAATGCTGGTCATCATTTTTTTTTTTTTGGACTCTGAAACATTACCTAAGAAGTCTTTCTGTGAATACTTCTATTAAGAAACTGAACTCCCCTCAAAAGAAATTATTTCAAAAGTACTGATATATTACAAGAGTGGAATACTTATTAAATCCATATAGATAGTCTACACATAAAAATCTTGAAAGTGATTAGAACTTCATTAATTAAAATCAAATTAATAATCATAAAATTAAGATAAAAAGAAAGCAAACTTCTAGGATTTAATATTGTGTTAAGTTATTTTCATTTTTTCATGGCAGTTACTCTTACCTGCACGGCATCTTTAACCTTAGGTCTGCTGCTGTGGATGAAAGCTCGACATTTCACATCCCCCCGGAGGTTTACAGAGCCACTACAGATCTGGACTGTGGCTGTGGATCTGTGGTCTGAGCTCAGGGGCTGAAGACAAAATTGTAGTCCATTATTAGTCCTAATAGTCCTAACATGATTCATTACAGGAGACATTTAACTATTATGTAGGCATTTTATAGAAAAGGAAGGATTTCTTGTCTAAGTAAGCACTTGAAAATATTCTCCATAAATGATTAAAAGTTCTTCATATGTCTCTTTATAAATGATATATTTTCTAGGCATTCTTAACATAGAAAACCAACTACATCTTAATGTTTATTCACTTACATGAATATTTAAAATACTAGTACTTAAGATATCTCCTAAAATACATTATTTATAGATTCCTTAGGAAAGTATTATGAAGATAAAAAGATGCATAAAGAAGGCATGCTGCAGTAGGAGACACAAGCCATGGGATACAAGAAAGCCACAGAAAATAACAAACTAGGACACCATAAACATGGTAAAATTCTAAACCAATGCGTAGACACACATTTATTGCTATGTTTTCCTCAGGTAAGACCCTAACGTCATCTAGAATGTCACCAGGAAATAATATTATGTTTCATAGGGTGACATGGCTGCTTTCATTTCACGCCCCACTGTCTCCAATCTACACAGTACTCAATACTTCTTGTTTTTCAGATGCTGCAGACATTTAAATGTTTATTATTATTTCATGCAAATGTTTTGCCTGGAACACATGCCTGTGTACATGTGTGTGCAATACTGAGGAAGCTAGGAGTGGGTGTCAGATCCTCTGGAACTAGTATAGATGGATGGTTGTGAGCTTCCACGGGGATTCTGGGAACTAACTCTGGGTCTTCTGCAAGAACATCAAGTGCCATCAACCCATCCCAGCTCAGACAGTTTAAATCTGATTGGCTAAGTGCCAAAGCAAGGACAGCATGATAACACTGAAAGGACTTCACGATCATGATGAAAAAAAAATAGGATTAAAACAAAACAAAGTATCAGTCCATCAGTCCCAGTCTCTTGAATTCAAATGTCGATCATGCTTGCCGTGTCTGGGAAATGTCGTTTCCTTGAAGTCATCTACCCGTGGCTCTAACAATCGTTGCACATCCTCTTCTGTATAGATCTGAGCCTTGTGAGGGTGTGACAAAGACACCTTATTTAGGACCGAGTGCTCCAAAGTCTCTTGCTCTCTCAACACTGGACAACTGCGGGTCTCTGAGTTAAATGCCATCTACTGGGAGAAGCTCTTCTAATGAGGGTACAGACATATGCTATTAGAAATCATTTTGTTGCTGTGTTGACTTAGCAGAATAACTGTAGTACCTTGTCCCCTAGGGCCAATGACCTATCTAGTCTCAGGTTCCTGGTCTCATTAATGATAATAGGTATGGTTCCATCTTATGAAGGAAGCCTTAAAGCCATTTTTTTGTTGTTGGTTTTTTTTCTTTTGTTTTTTTTGTTTGTTTGTTTTTGTTTTTGTTTTTCGAGACAGGGTTTCTCTGTAGCTTTGGAGTCTGTCCTGGTACTAGCTCTTGTAGACCAGGCTGGCTTCAAACTCACAGAGATCCACCTCCCTCTGCCTCCTGAGTGCTGGGATTAAAGGCGTGCACCACTGCCCGGCCTTAAAACCAATTTTTTAAAAAAGTGGCTGAACAAGCGAGCACATCTTACAAGCAAGTCATTATTGCAGCGCATGGGATTTACAGCACGAGGAGATTTATGATTACTTTTCTCCTCCAGTAGCATAAATAGCACAAGGCAGGAGCCTTCAAAGAGGCTGTCATAGCATGCCTAAGATCTGAACATACTCAGGCCAAACGAAACACCAGTATAGTGCAGAGGAAGTGAGCACAAGTCCCACCTCTAGCCAAAAAGCTATTTGCATTGATAGCTGCTGGAAGAGGAAAAATCAGTTTTCTTCAGTGGAATGACACTGGGTATATCAAACACACTCCACGACAGTGCCCATGCTCAGATGGCCGACATCATAAGGATTTAATTTAATTATATGTGTGTGGGTGTTTTGCTTGTATGTATGTTTGTGCGCCACATGGAAGCCTGGTGCCCTTGGAGAGGGTGTTGAATTCCCTAGAGTTACCAGACAGTTGTGAACCTCCACGTTGGTGCTGGGAATTGAACTTTCTTGATCTTGATCTGCTGTAAGAGCAGCCAGTGCTCCTAACTCCTGAGCCATCTCTCCAGTCCGAGACTCCATGGATTTTGTTTGTGTGCTTGTTTGCTTGCTACTTTACACTTTTTTTGGTTTCTTGAGACAAGATTTCTCTGTGTAGTTCTGGCTGTCCTACAACTCACTTTGTAAATCAGGCTGGCCTTGAACTCACACAGACCTGCCTGCCTCTGTCTCCTGAGCATTGGGACTAAAGGCGTGCATACCTGGCTATTTTAAACTTTTAGGAGAGAGGAAAATTGTGAATTTGTGAGGGAACAGATCTGGAAAGTGTTGAGGTAGGGAAAGAACATGATCAAAATACACTGCATGAAATTCTCAAAGAATAAATAAAAAACAAATAAATTTTAAAAATACCATCAGTAACATCAAAAACCAGTTCTAAGAATGTAATTTATGTTGGGTTGTAGTGACGCATGCCTTTAGTCCCAGCACTTAGGAGGCAGGGGCAGGCAGATCTCAGTGAATTTGAGGCCAGCCTGGTCTATAGAATGAGTTCCACGACAGTCAGGGCTAAACAGAGAAACCCCACCTCGAATCCCTCACCCCCAAAAGGTAAGTAAGTCCAGTAAAAATACAAGACAAAAAATGTACTGCTAAGTACTATGAAAAAAAAAAAAAAAACCACTGAAAACTAGGGTGAGAAGCTTAAATCCAATCCCAAACTTAGCAATGCTTTATAGTTAAACAAAGAGACAACTGGGAAAGCAGCTTTATGAACCAAATTACCTCCACTCTCTCTTAGTTAAAAAACTGAAAATTCTGGTACTATTTCTGAGTTTCAAACTCTAGAATAATATTGAAACGAAATTTCTTATACTTCCTATAATCATGGCCTGTTCTTCAAGGCAGTATTAAAGTGGACAGCATTTAGAAGTAATTAGTAGTTTTAATTTAAGTGATTTTTATTTGATTCGGTTTCTTCAACAGACCCAATTTTTAAAAAATTGAATTTTCATATAGATGTATAATTTTAAAATATCATACAGAAAAAAAAATGAAACTTGCAAAATAATACTCTGGAGATGTTTTAGATTTATTTCATGTGTATGAATGTTTTGCCCACATGTATGTCTGTGCACCATGTGTTTATACAGTGTACTTGGAGGTCAGAGGAGGTAATTGATGAACTGGAGTTACGGATGGTTGTGAGCCACCATGTGAGTGCTGGGAATCAAACCCATAATCTCTGCGAGAACAACAAATGCTGTGAAACACCGAGCCATTGCGCCAGACCCCTTTGGAGATTTTTTTTTTATCAAATTAGAGTTTAAAATGAATATATACCTCAAATTAAGTATATGACAATTCTCCATATACCAACACACATCTTCTTTGAAAAGTTTTTAAGAATTCTAAGTTTAATAATGAAATCAACAGCTCAATATATTTAAATACATATGTACACAAGCTTTTAAAACAGGTATTTACATGGAAACACTTTAATAGCCTTGAGACAAAAGGCTCAAAATGGTTAAACCAGAGCAATGCTTCTTGGCAGTAACCTTCTTATAACTGAATGCTTTATATAGTTTCATATCTTGCTATATTTTTTAATTAATACAATTATATTCCTAATTTTTCAATATGATAGGTGAAATAATTTATTTTTAAATAAGTGGATTTAAAAATATTTACCAACTGTGTTAACACTCGGACATCAAAAGAATGAGCAGTTGCTTGAGTATTTCCTCTGGATTTTTTCTAAAAAATATAAAAGCCAGACTGTTAAGGTTGTATACGAAAAATAAAGGATAATTTAGAAAATATTTTACTTTTTCTAAATACCAAGGAGAAAATAAAATCTTAATTACTTTAATTTTGGTTTTGTACAGACACACTGTATTGTAAACCCCAAATTAACCAATTAGTCTCTTAAAATTATTCCCTACTTTAATTCCTTCAGACTTGAGATCAGTAAATTATTTTCTGCAGGTCAAATTTACATTGCCACCTTACTCTGTAAATGAGCATTTCCTGGAACAGTCAAGATCATTCATTTATATTACCATCTGTTGACCGAGGTTTCTGTACTGCCTGGTCCTGCAGTTGTTCAGTCCCAAAGAAACACACAGAGGCTTACATTAATTATAAACTGTTGGCCTATTAGCTCAGGCCTCTTATTAACTAATTCTTACATCTTAAATTAGCCCATTATTCTTGTCTATGTCAGTCACATGGCTTGGTACCTTTTATCAGTGAGGCATTCTCCTCTTGCTTGGTACCTTTTATCAGTGAGGCATTCTCCTCTTGCTTGCTCTGTATGTAGCTTCCTCTATGACAACTGCAGATGGACTCTTTCCTCTTCCCAGAATTCTCCTATTCTTGTCACCCCACCTCTACTTCCTGCCCGGTCGTCCTGCCTATACTTCCTGCCTGACTACTGGCCAACCAGCGTTTTATTAAAACAATACAATATAAGTGACAGGGTACAAGACTATTGTCCCACAGCAACCATCTGTGATGTCTTTAGTGGGACAACAGGAGAGATGAACAGTTGAACTACAACATGTCTTCAAAAACCTAAAGCATTTACTACACGGCTTTTTCCAGTTTGCAGATCCCTGCTTTATAAGAGTTCCTCTTTATCCAGGTTAAAGGTATTTGAGAAACCCTTATGGAACCTTCCACATAGAGCTACAAATGGTAGAACACAAGATAGTTTTGAACAAGCTTTTACAATTTGGAGAGTAGGTAGGTTTTAGATGCATATGACATTCCTAATTCCAGGATTCAGTACCTCAATTACACCAGAAATAGACTCTTCCTATCACTTCCTGAAAAAAACATTTGCCTTTTACTTTATAAGACCCTGGAACCCAGAATGGTAGTGCTCACCTTCAGTCCCCACACTTGGGAGACAGAGGCAGGCCGATCTTTGCGAGTTTGAGGTCAGTTTGGTCTACATAGTGAGATCTAAAACAGCCAGGGATACATAGAAACCCCACATCAAAATAAATAAATGAAAACTGAAAGATCCCAGAAATGAGTAAATGAAACCTGTTTTAATGAAGACAAAGACTAAAGATAAGGTTGTTTTCCCTTAGAAACTTATTTCATAAATAAGATTCTCTCTGAACTCACCTGTCCTTCCAATAGGTCACAATCTTCATCTTTAACTTGACCATTAATCAAATAAACACCATTTTCTATTTGCTTGGCCCAGCGTACAAGTCCACTCTTAAAAACAATATGAAATCTTTTAGATGGAAAGTTATATTACTCAAGCCTATTTTATATTTTACTATTCTCCACCTACTACACAGAATTTTGAAAATGTCAATAACATGGTGTTTAAATCCAGTATCACAGATTAAAAAGTCCTAATCTTTTAACTTCTTATAAATTTTTAGTAAGTTTTCTGATCTTTTCCTAAAATTTATAACACAAACTCCAAAGTCTTATTAACAACACGGGCATAGAAATACCATCCAATAGCATCTACTATCTTTTCACAAGTAGAAAAATGAGCCTTAAGAAGCATAAAGCAGTATTAAAGAAAAAAATTACACAGGAACAAAAATGATGAAATACAAAGGAATAGAAAAAGAAAGGCAAAACTAATCAGGGTCAAGAGATGGTCATTAGTAAATCTATGGACATAACTAAACTCTATATGCCAACTAATACATATTTATTAAGTATCTGCTATGCTAAATACACTAGTATTGTGACATTATTCATGCTACAGAAATTCCTAATCCAGCTAGAGTAACAAGTTCATCATACACATTACAACAATCATTTTAATAGAGTACAGGTTTTAAGGGTTATAAATATCACAACCAGATTAGCAGCAGAGTCCATTCAGTAATCAATGAAGACAACACATTGTACTTGGATACCTTTGTATTTTTTTCCAGAGAATAACTGACAGAAGTAGCCGACAGTGGGATGTGGATATTAACGTGAACAGTACACTCTAGAGACAGCCAGGAGGTAGACACTCGGTTTTGATACTTCCAATCTGCAGGTCTTGCTGAACTCTTTAACAGGGAGAAGGTGGAAAAACAAAACAAGATATGGTTTAGGTAAAATATATGCATTAATTAAAAAATATAAGGTATAAAATCTATATATAACTTGAACAAGCTAACATCTTGGACTGTTGACTAAATAAGGGAAACGGAAATAAAAAAAAGATCATATGTTAATTTCAATAGTCTTTCATACACACTAGACAATCTTGGCAACATCCTGGGGGTAGGCAGACAAAGGGTCAGAGAGCTCTGCTGAGAATTCTAAAAGGTGCCTGGGCACCAGCTTTCAGCCATGGCCTCCACGGCCCATCCTAAAGACTGTGTGCAGCACATGCTCACCGAGCTGCTGCTCAGTATGGCTGTGCTCCCCTTGCTTCCTACACTGCTGAGTCATTTTCATATTGTTTTTAGGCAAATGCCGGTCTGGCTTCTGTACCACACAGGGTGCCATTTGACTAGGCACTGTAGTGACACAAAATCCTTAGTCACTTTCACCATCAGCGTCTCAAATATAAACCGGGAGACTAAGAACAACTACAAACAAATAAAAAACTACACGTGGTCATATACATTAAAAAGGACCGATGACACTGAAAATTACTAGAACTAAATATAAATAAAACTACATTTGAATAGAGATGAATACTGACTTTTAAAAGTAGCTTATAAAATAAAAAGAATCTTTAAGGAGTAGTTTTTCTTACCTTTGGATCATGGACATCATAAGTTCGACAAGATAATCTTTACTAATTAAGGTCAAAAATGACTCCAAAAGAATTCTTGATAATAAAATGAAATTCCAAAACCAAAAATGGTACATATGAGTGCTTACAAATTATAATACTTTGGATGTTTAAAAGACATATACAGATATGTAGTGATATTTTATTTGTATTTTAATAAATAAAGCTTGCCTGAAGATCAGAGGACAAAGTAAGTCACTAGAGGCCAGGGAATGGTGCACACAGTTTTAATCTCAGGACTTTTGAGAAAGAGGCAGACAAATCTCTGTGAGTTCAAGGCTACCCTGGACTAACCAAGACTGATCCAAAAACAGATCCAGGTAGTGGTGGCTCACACCTTTAATCCCAGTGTTTGGGAGTCACACATCTTTAATCCCAGCACTTGGGAGGTGGAGACAGGAGTAATATGGCTGGGCGGAGAGAGGAATAAATAGGGGAAGAGACAGGAACTCAGTGGAGTATGGAGTCTGCGGTTGGTGGAAACACAGTGTAGTCTAGGCAGTCTGAGGATCACCCCTTCAGTCTGAGCTTTGGGAGAGGTAAAAGGTCTCCCTAGTGGCTGGCTGCTCTGCTTCTCTCATCTTCAGTTTTAACCATGATTTTTATTGGTTTTTATTACTCATGCTATGCATATATATAGCTATGCATTTATATAAATGTTTGAGTGTTTATGTTTTATGTCTATTACCCATGTATATGAATTGCTGACTGTAGTATGCCTGGTGCTTAAAAAAGCAAAGAAAACACAAATTCCCATCTGTTTTGCAAATATTGCTAATCATAATAAATGGCAAGGAAGCACCTATAAGTTCTTGTTCACACAAACTCTACACAGCGTAAAGGAGTGCTGTTTCAGATGGGATCCAGCCCTGAGTTCTTGTTCACACAAACTCTACACAGCGTAAAGGAGTGTTGTTTCAGATAGGATCCATCCCAGGAACATTTACTGGGTTGTGATACTTCCCAGGCCAATGACAAATACGTTAAACATTCATCTTCCACAGGAAAAGTCTCTTTTTAATTTGGCCTTCTCCAAGTCCTCATTTAGTGGGTCCTTGGATTGTGTCTCTTCTTTAGCGACCATCTATCCTGAGGAGTTATAGAGGAGAGAGTATAAGGAGGTCACTTGTCCACAGCAAAGGCATAAGAATTCCTACACTGTCCAGCTCAATTATAGGTACTTTGAATTGCACATTTTAACTATAAGAATCGAAGATGAAAATTATATTTGTTTGGCTTTTTTTTTTTAAGTTTTTCAAGACAGGGTTCCTTTGCAGTCAGTCCTGGAACTTGCTCTGTAGAACAACCAGACAGGCCTTGAACTCACAGAGATCCACCTGCCTCTGCCTTCTGAGTGCTGGGATTAACGGTATGCACCACCAGTGCCTGGCTGAAAATTATATTAACATAGCAAAACATTATATGCTTAAATTTATCTCTGAAAGAAACCTACAGTACAAAAATATATACATGGTATAAGCTGGCAAAGAATTCAGAATCCTAAGTCCTTTCTCTCTATCAAACTCTATAATTCAGTACATGACCAGTAGCCCTTATTATTATTAACATTATTATTGACAGTCCTAATGATAACAATGTGTTCTTTACAAACTTAATAGTCTTTTCCCAAAAGGATGATTTAAACAAATGTTTAAGGAAGAACTGTAGAACTGTGATTTGCATAGCATATCAGGGAGAGAAGGGAAAAAGCAAGGCCATTGCAGTGTGCATGTGAGTGGTGTGGCTAGAGCCACAGACATTAACATAAACAACCAAACAAAAGATACTTTTTTGTAGAAGAACATAAGTGAAGTATCACTCGTTCTGAGACCTCTTCCTCTGTGACAGTCCATAGTCTTTTTCTATTCATAGATTTCTCCACAGAAAATATTAGCTGAAAGACAGAGAAATACACATGAATTCATCACAAAATGAAAAATGTGGAAAAAGACAATGACAATTCCTAATCTTCAGAATTTCATGGACTATATCATGATACACTAACCATTTGTGATTTCATAAAAGGACTCACATAAAAATTGAGTTTTAAGAAAAAACATAATTCCCTATAATTAACAATTAACTGGACATGTTAAATTAATTTTAGGCAACTAATATTTATATAAAATATAGAACATAAGTTTTATTTTTGTTATAAAGGAAATAAATGATTTTCTTAACCACAAAAATGAAACATGTTTCCTTGTTAGCTTTTCTTATTTAAATTTCACAAAAAATGAAAGCAGTAAAAAATTAAGAGGAAAAAAATCAGAATAGTGACCTAAATTTGTGTCAGAAATGTTAAATATAAAACATGGACTTGGAATTAGTTTAGAGGGTCATGAATGTGGCTCTAAGCTTTCTTCCAACAATGTTGGATATGTAGAGAGATCTAATTTGCCACCTAATTCTTATGGTCTATAAACTGGAAACAACTGGTCAGAAGGTACATGCTCTTCCTGACAATATCAAAAGAAATTGTTTCACAAAAGACAATAGTATATAATGACCAAAATTATTGGCAATAAACAACACATTTTACAAAATTATTTCTTGTAGTATCTCTTGAGACCACTGTTTCTTTCCGATGCTTATTTTCAATGAGATTGAGATTGTGTAGGCAAGGCTGTCTGTGAAGAGAACACAGAGAACACACACAGGAAACCCTCCTAGGAAACCATGTCGCCCACAAAGGGCTGAGGCTTTACACAGCAATCAAGATAATCTCCCACAGACAGGCCCACGGGCCAGTCTGGTCCTGAGGACTCCTCATGAAGACCTCTCCCCTTCTAGGTTGAGAGTGAAAACTAATCAGCACATGCACAGAGATTCAAAATGTATTCCAAATTGTCAAAAATGATGCAATAAAAAAGGCATTTACTTAAAATGAATGAGTGCAAAAGACTGGAAAACATGCTGGGAGGAATATAGCCTTTCTTCCTAGGCACCACGTATCACCCATGTGAACTGTCTGAAGCGGAGGTTACAAAAGTGGAGGTGTCTACAGCACCTGTAGATTGCTTTTCTAAATTGCCCCCAGCTACCAGTTTTGTTCTTCTGAATGGTATAAGGTTCCTCTTGCTCACATGGTGAGATGCGCTCGTGAAAGTACACATGTAAAGATAGGAGAGCCTCCTGAGGACTACTTTAGGTCTGAGTTTAAGTTTAAGAGAAAACAGCTTGGGACTTTTACATTTAGTTTTGGATTGATTACACTACCTGGTTTTCTGATGTAGTAGCAAAACAAAAAAAATATGAGAAGCAGGATATGCACCCCATCCAGGAATAAAGTATAAACATATGATTAATATTTATATATATATTAGCCTCAGAACTTCAAGAGATGTGACTAGCTTGTAAGCTAGTAGTAACATGATATTACTACAATCGCTTCCTCCTAAGTGGAGGGTCTATAAGAAAACTGCTATTGCACAAGAAAAACAGTTAAACCATTTTAACTTGTTGTATAACATTATGATATCATCTTTTGAAAAATTGTTTTGAGGGCCAATTAGATGGCTCAGCAGGTAAAGGCATTTGATGTGGAAGCCTGACAGCCTGAATTCAAGCCCTGGGAGCCATGAAAAGACAGAAGGAAAGAACTGAGTCTACGAAGTTGTCATTGTTCTCTGACCTCCAAAAGTTCACTATGGTGGGTGCCTGACCACATCACCACCACCACCATATATACATCTTTAATTAACAAACCTTAAAAAATATTTTAAAATATCTACCTTTGATTGGAAAAATATTTAGATTCATTACACACAAGATCTGCAAATAAATGAATAGAAAATGCCATTTCCACAAATTGTAGCATAAAGAATTATGGAACACTAATACATTCCTGCTTAAGATCAATACACAAGCATATAATTAAATAACATTTAACGTTTATCTCATTAAGAGTATATGTTACATTGGACTTACTCTGCGCAGGACAGTTTGAAAATCATCTGCTAGTTCTAAAGCTGTAATTATAAATATTCCAAGAACCACAAGTCCTCCAGGGAGCATTCTGGATACCTAAAGATAAAAATACAGTATTAGCTATCATACGCATGCCAGTCTTTTCTATTTGATAAGGTAAACATTAAATCGGCAAATATTTATATCCAACTATCCATATAGACTCTAGGTAGAGGCCATTGAAAAACTAGAGTGCTACTATATACATAACCCATCCCAGAGTCCCCTCAACTTTAATAACCTGTTTAGGTGCATCAACATACAAACAGACCTTTTCTCCTAAGACTTGTAAAGTGACTTTTTTTCAATGGTCTTCCAACTATCTACAAAATAAATATTTTACCTTAGACTGCCATTTTAATCTTTCCAGAATATGGCCCATCTGATATTCAGAGACACAGCTGATCTACTTTCTCTGAAATAGTCAAGCATCAGTCAAAACTACTTTCCATTCACCACACATTGCCCTGGCTTTCTAACTCCTATCCTTTCCTAAGGCTGTTTCCTAAATCTAAACTGGCCGCTCTTACACTCTCAAGATCATTGCAAAGTCACCTGGAGGGAGCTGTCTTCCCGGTAAGTCCCTGGAGAACTACACATCCTTGCATTTATCTAATCTGCCCTGTTTGTATCTTCCCTTCACTTGATGGGGCTAGTTTTTAAAACTGCATGTGCTTTTCTCTGCCAGCCAAGTTCCCACCTACAGGAGTGCTTTTGCTAGCTTTCAAAGACTATTTTATAGGCAAACAATCACAAAGTTAAATGTTAGAAAATTAGATATTAAAGCATCATTTCTACTATATCTGTATTATTTCAACTCGTGATTCCCTCTGATTCATAAATCCGATTTAATCAGTATGACAAATGTGACAAAGTTTCCCATATTTATTATGGGGAATCCATGCAGTTTTAAAAATTATACAGTTAACTCTTTCTAGAGGTAAAAATATTAATTTACTATTATAAATTCATGCATATTCTCTCCATATGTATTTGTATATAAATTATATAGAACACAGAAAACTTCATAGGGAAGGTGGGGGTGGCTCAGTGATTAAAGCACTTGCTGCACAAGCAAAAGAATCTGCGCTCAAATCCCAGGAACCCATGTAAATGCTGGGTGGGCACAGCAGCCAGCCTGCAGCTCCACCCTCTGAGAGTGAAGACAAGCTGGATCAGTGAGCTACAGGCTTGACTGAAACTGAATCAAAGAGTAACATGGCAGAGTGACTGAGAAAGGTTACTGATATAAGCCTCAAGCCTCCACTATTATACACATGTGCACACACATACACAGCATGCATGTACACTACAAACACATGAAAGAAAAAAAATTATAAAAAAGTCAAAACCAAATATAGAATTGCAAGTTATTTATATATAGAATTAAAGTAACACATATAAATAGAATTAAAATAATACCTTCTTTAAAAGACAATAGTCTTACTTCTTGGAATTGTTTATACTACTCTTCCATCACAAATATAAACATATTTATTTATCTTAGAGGTTTATAAATTGAAAAAGAAATATAATAATTCAACTTTTATCTTACTCTAATCATTTTTACTAAATTTTATTCAATACCACAACTCATTCAAGAAATATTTTAAGTGAATTAGCATATTTATTGCTTTTTCAACAACCCTAAAGCCATTTCCTTCTCTCATAACTGTAAAATTGTCCTCAGAAACGCTCAAGGTCAAAATCTCAGCCATCTTTGGCATTTTCTCTTCTAAACCTCTTTATTCTCAATCCACTTGGTCACTGAATACTCATGAGTCTAGCTCTTTCTCTGAAGTTGTTAATGAAGGTTAAGCCAATCTATCCATGCATTTTTATCTAGTATTTTACACCTCACATTATAAACCATGGAAATGCTGCAAGCTCTTAGATTACAGCCATAAACAGAAGAAAGAACTCGCACCCTCGCAAAGCTCAGAACTAGTTTAGGCTCACGCCGTCACTGGTTTGGACTGCTGCTTTGCTGGGGTTTCTCTTCTGTCGCCAGGTTCTACACTCCACTAATATTGTGCCAATACTAATGTTATCTTACAAATTACTGGCAAATAAGTCACTTTACCTCTTTTAAAATACAGGACTATGAAGGCTTACCACTGGATTTTTCAATATAATACTTTTATTAGTACTATGAGATTTTACACAATGTACTTTGATCATATTTATCCCCCACTCTTCTCAGATCCAGCCCACACCCTATGCTTTTCCTTTCAACTTCACATCTTTTCTTTTTTTTTAATAACCCCATGAGTCCAATTTGTGCTGCCCATATACTGACAGGTGTGGGGCCATTCAGTGGAGCCTGATTGATCTACTGGTGGCCACACATACTTTTTTAAGGCCACATCCTTTAAAAGACCATGACTCTTCCTATCCATACCACTGAACTTTTGTTTACCAAATATACTTCTTTGACCAAATATACTTCTTTGAATTGTATTCCAAAGCCACCCACAAACAAGCCTTGTATTTAATTACATTTTCTTACACACACTGTGTTTCAGCTATACTCAATTGCCCAACTGCTTGCTATTTTCCTAGTATTGTGTCTTTGTGTCTCTCACCCACACTCACACTGTTCTGCCTTATTGAATGTGTTCTTTGACTTGTTCAATTAAGAGTCATCATGTTTAGAGCCTTCTGTAAAATTGTTTTAAATGAAACTATTGGCATGCATTTAAGAAAGAATATTGCAAAGTTCCAGTCTAGCAACCCAGGAAGCATTTGTTTCTTTTGTTAATCAACTGAATGCAAACATCTATGTGGCGAGACAATTTTACCTGGCTGGCATGTTCTGTGACCCATTCTTCATCCAAGGTATCCAACTTAGCTTTGGGATGCTTGAGGTTCTCATTTTGTTCCTCTTTGGGTGGTGTTCTAGTGGCAAGAATCACATAATCCTTTTGTGAAGAACACTTTAAAAACAAATTGTAAAAGTTTATTATAGTTATATCTGATTGAAGAACTAGATATCTAATGCAAAAATTAAACAGTATTTCAGCAATTTAAACTGTTAACATTCATATTATTATGGAAGCTATAGTAGTGCAATATGTCACTCATATGTTGTTAATCTTTAATGTATGTAATAGCAACTTATTATTTACTTGGACATCCTCAATATAAATAATAGGGTAGTCTTTAAAGATGATTCCGGAACTGTGGATGTAGCTCAGTTGGTACAGTGATTGCCTGGCATGCAGAAGGGCCTAGTATCAATCACCAGTGCCACATAAACCAGGTATGATGGCATACACATGTAATCCAGCACACTCAGGAAGTAAGGGAGAATGAAAAGTTCAAGGGCATCTCTGTTGTTGTTGAACATGCAAATGAACTGACTTAACTAAAATGTAATATACTTAGTCACTACTCCAATTATTTTATCTATTGTCTCTGTAATTTCAATGGATTGGATGTTTAACAAATATAAAAGTTCATAGTTCAAAGTAAATAAATTTACATAGATGTATCAAGAGAACAACAGAGGGATTTGAAACAAAATTCAAAGGGTTCCAAACTCCAGGTTCTTCATTTTTAACAGCAGTTAAATGGTAACCAACAGAGAAAAATCTAAAAATAAATTTAAGGACTAGAAGAGATCTCAGTTTCACTGCAGCATGGTTCCCAAGTTAGCTAATAAGGCTCATAATGTAGTTAAAGTGGCATATTATCTCCAAATATGACCTAAAACTCCCTAGAGATCGTTAGTATCACCTTGATATAATTATTATGGCATGGTTAAGACATGTCTCTTAGGGCTGGAAAGATGGCTCAGTGGTCAGAATGAATATTTTCTTGCAGAAGACCAGACTGAGTTCCCAGCAACCACATCTGGTGATTCACAACAGCCTGTAACTCCAGCTTGAGAGACTCCAACCCCTTTGGGTTCCTCGGGCATCTGCACTCACATAATCATGTGCGTATATGCACACACACACACTGAAGAAAATCATAACATAAAATGTAAAAATATGTATCTATATCTTTCTTTTTAAGTATGCCATGCTCCACCCCTTTTCTCATTTTGTTTTGGAATTGGGTTTTACACAGTCCAGGATGGCCTCAAACTCACTATGAAGCCAAGACTGATCCTCCTGCCTCCGCCTTCCAAGTACCAGGACTACAGCCATGAGCCACCACGCCTGACATAGAGGCGTCGCTTCTTTCATAAGATGTGGAACTTTGAAAAGAAAGAGAAACTGAGATTTAGAGTAGGGAAAAGGCAAGCTTAAAAAGACAGAAGAGAACAAAAGTGAGCTCTTGAATCAAAGGAAGAGAAAGAATTCCAAAAATGAAGAAATAACGGCAGTATGGAGCTGGATATAGTGGTCATGTGAATAATGAGAATGGTAAGTTCAAGGTTAGTTTGGGTTCCATAGTAAATTGCCTTGTTTAAGAGGTGCTGAGCAAGGCAGGAGATTTGGCCTGGGACCCTGTGTTATTTGAATCATCACTCACCTGCCCCTTACACTTGGTAGCCTATTCCCTTCACCTGTAGGAACCATGTACAAACACCTCTCTCCTAACAGCCTCACCCCAAGGCTCTACCTGCACTGCGCCACACACTACTTCCATCTCCAAGGAACAGTACAGACCTCCCTGCCCTTGGTAGTAATCACATTACACAGTTTCTGTCCAACTGTATTCCCAGCATATCTGGTAAGAGGAAGTGTCTGACCAGACTAAAATGACTTTAGGTGCATGTGCAGTTAAACAAACTGCTATCAAGTGAACTCTTAGGGAAAAAAAATCATATGCCTATGAATTCATTTAAATTGAATTAAATCGGGTTTTAATTATGGTGAGGGGCATGTATATTAGGGAAAATTAAGTATCCGTTATTATTATTATGTAACCTAGCAATTAAAATAGACAACCACTCAAACTATATCCTTAGAAGCCAGAAGCTCCTTCTATTCAATCCCATAAAACTAAGCCACAAGCAGTATTCTGGACACTTCAGTGCTCTCACTCACGTGGCCTGCAGTGAGTCTGGACTTCTACTTTGTTCCTTATGAAGTTACCTTGCCACATTGGAAAATCGGTGAGTCTTTATTTTCAATTATTTGGATAAGAGGCCAAGAACCTGGGAAGAATCGATCCTGACTTTGATCGTGCTGACAACCACCAGAACACTGGGGCTGAAACCCGGGGCCTTATTTATATATGTTGGGCAAGTACCAACTGAGCTATGTATCCAGTCCAAAACATAACATAAGGAAAGCAAAATGTGAATAATCTGGTCAGTGAAGAGTTAAATTTTGACATTTGGACATTATAAGTTACTTTCACCGTTTCAAAGGGAATATGATCATACATATTCAAACATCAGCCAGGTTTCCTCCTTTTAAATGTTAACTCAAAGATCCATGTTAGGCTACCTTCTTCAGATTTAAGTTCCTTCCATATGCAACCTTGAATTTACTATTAAATGGCATACTTAATTTTAATAAGTGAGTAATTTATTTTCAGCAATATGCAGAGTAGCAGACACATACATACCTGTCCTATCAAAAGACCAGAGACAAAAGATTTTCCCTGGAGACTGATGCTTGAAATATATTGACCAACGCTCTCTTCTACAATGTAGGTTCTTCCCATTATTGGCAGCCAATTCAGTAGCCTAAATTACAAGAAATAAAGTTTGCATTTTTGGAAAAAAAATTTAATTTTTGATGTTTTAGCATGGGTAGATGGGTAATACAGCAAAAAAAAAAAAAGTTGTACAATCCTGGCAATTGTCCCATGTCTTGTAGTGATTATTTACTAAATAGGGCATTCTTTTTTGTACAATTGAAATGAAGCTTTGGAATTCTGAGTACAGTGCTGTTAAGAAACAATTCCCTGGGGGCTGAAGAGATGGCTCAGTGCTTGCTGGTTTTCCAGAAGGCCCGAGTTCAACTCCTAGCACCCAAGTCCAGTGGAGCACAAATGTCTGTAGCTCCAGCTCCAGGAAATCTGAGTCCTTCCTCTGGAGACTACACATGTGTAGCATACTCACACAGTTATGGACACCAAATAAAAATCATAATAATAATTTTAAAAAGAAGAAGAAGAAGGACAGACTCCAGAGGCTTTCTGTGCTTCTTTTAAGGCAGGGTTTCACTATTTAGATCTGATTGATTTGGAACTCACTTTATAGCCTTGGCTGGCCTCCAACTCCTGGCTTCAGATCTGCCTCAGCCTCTGGAGGCTGGAATTTCTAAAATATGAACGATGAATTTCTGATTACTTTATTAAGAGGTAGATAGATTCAAATTTATTTTCCCAATATATGTTGTAAAATTACTTTCTAGAAATTGTGCTCGGCGGGAAAGCACAAAGGTAAATAATGATTGTTGACATGAGGCTCACTGAACAGCCACTTAAGTAGAAAGTAATGCAGCAACGGCAACTATCTATACAGCTTCCATTGTTCTAAGTACTTTACAGGCTCTGGTATTTAATACAGAACCCCGTGAGGTCAAGTATTATTATAGTCGTCTCCATTTTATACATAAAGAAATCAAAAGAAGAAAATGTTAAATAACTCCTCCAAAAAACAAAACTGGCGCGTGGGAAAGACAGGATTCAGGCTCTGACACTCTGTTTTGCTCACACCGACAACGCATACTGTCCTTCAATTAAATCACTGCAAGGGAGAGTTCCTGTTCGCTCCGTCAGTTTGTGAATGAAAACTAATATAATATCTGTACTAACTTAGTCCCTCTCACCCCCATCATTGAAACAGGATCTGACTACCCAGGCGGGATGGGAATTAACTCTCTCCTGCCTCCTACTCCAGGCTGCTGAGATCACAGACATGTGCTAGGCCCTATTTTCAATCAAGAGTCAATAAATTCTTCCAGAAATGTAACCAGGTAATGAAACAAAGTACATACTCAAAGTGCTGAAACACGACCTGGAAACAAACACGGTTCTGTTATTGTGGCAAGAAGATAGTGTGGCAATTGTTTTAAAACATTTTCGTATATAAATACCAACATCACACATTTTTTTTCTGCAATGTCATCTTAATGCATAAACTACATTCAAACTCTTCCTGATTTCTTTTTGTCTAAAATATTAGCTGGACTACTACTTAAATTCGCATTGATCAGTGCCTGCAACCCCCAAAAGCAGATTTGTACGAGGTTTGACAGGACCTAAACTCTGCAGAACTGGCCGTCGGTGTGCACCAGAGTGGCTGTTCATATGTTTCCTACACTATGGCTATATACATCTATAGCCTTTCCTTTCGCCCCTTGAAGAGGAAGCTGTTGGTGCCCCAGTGTACACATTCGTAGGCCGACTCACTTGTTCTCAGAATGTGCACACGTGGCCAATAAATCCCTCGAGCCTTCTGTCAGCAAGAGAATGCGGGTGAGAGTACAAGTAGCTGCCTTCAAGGGTCAGATGCCACCGGGTCCCGCATCTACAGTCAATGATCTCATCAGAGAGCGACTGCAGACGCTCCACTTCCCTTTCCGACTAGCGCACCGGCGGGCGCAGCTAGATGACGCAGGCCGCCCGCACCCACATCCGCGCTCTTCTACCCCAAAGCGAGCGTGGCCTGCACCCCGCCCCCTCCGGGGCACCCCAGAGAGCGTGGCGGTAGCCCGGAGCCTGTGGATCTGCCCTGCCGTGACCCTCTAGTGCCCCGGTTTCTAGAAGCGGCCACCGAGGAGTACCCATGGCATCCCGGGGTTTTGACGGTAAGGTCGCCTTTCACCTCAGGGAAGGACGAGGGTGGCTGAGCACGTCTGTAGCGCCACCGCGCGGACACTCGCCACAGCCGAACGAGGAGAGCCGGGGGCGGGGAGAAAGAAGGAAGCGGAACGGGAGGCGCGGGACTGAGCTCGCCGAAGCGAGGGAGAGAAATACTACATTTCCCTTGGAGCCTTTGGTTCTGGAAGTAGGCGAAAGCAAAAGCCGGGTCGGAGGCCCGCTGTGAACTCGCATTCCCAGCGTGCCTAGCTTCCGGCGGTTGCGTGCGCACCGAGGGCGCAGCGGCGCGGCCCGTGCTGCGTCTAACGCAGGACTCTATTTCCCAGGGTCCCGCCGCGGGAGTCTCCGGCGGGCAGGCGCGCGGGAGGCTGCGAGCGAGGCTGGAGACGGCGGGGCTCAGGCTCCGGGCTTCCGCGCTTCGCCTTGCTCCTTCGTTTCTCCTTCGGCCGCTGCTGCCGACATGGCGGCGGTGCTGCAGCAAGTGCTGGAGCGCTCGGAGCTGAACAAGCTGCCTAAGTCGACCCAGAACAAACTTGAGAAGTTCCTGGCTGATCAGCAGTCCGAGATCGACGGCCTGAAGGGGCGGCATGAGAGATTTAAGGTGGAGAGCGGTAAGTGCTCAGCTCTTAGAGCTCTGGGGTTGGAGCTGTGGCTCGACCTTCCTCTTTACCCGCTTGCACTCTGCAATATGTGCAGGTAGCATCACGCAGGCTCCATATGCAATGTAGGCCTCCTCTTTTCTCCTCTCTCTTATTAAAAAGAAAAAGGAAAGAAAAGAACGCAAAGGAGCGATCCCTCCTCCTCCCAGACCTAATTCCACCTTCTCGTCTTATGTAGGAACTCTTAACTTGGGCTCAAAGACAAACTGTGTAGAATTTTGGACAATTTACACCATATCTCTAGGTCTATGCAACCCTAATCTGATTCTGTTTTGTTGTTCTTAAAATGACAGTAATTCCTATTTTCTACCCACCTGGATATATAGACCACTGCCAACTTCACCTCTTCAATGCCTTGTTCTTAGTGTATGTATCACCCTGTCGTCCCATAAAGAAGTAGATAGTCACAAAAATGAATGTGGATGCAAAAGACATCCCTAGAAAAAGCAGTGAAATCGCACAAAATGAGTTGGATATATTGTGTTTACCTCAGAAAAATGGACAAAATATATACAGATCTGTTTATACATTCTTGTAGTCGCTTTCATATAAGAAAGTTGTGGATTTTCATATAAGAAAGTTGTGGATTGTGGTTTTAAGAGCCTTGATTTAAAGGTAATAGTAATTACCAATAATAAAATAGGATTTTTATTATTGTCACGTGTTTTGGTTTACCGTTAATATAGGAAATTGGTGCTGTATTTTGGTAGAAATTTTCATGTGAATTAATTTTCACATCAGTAAAGTGTAGTTATCAAGCAAAGTTGCTAATTGAAATTATACAGTTAATTGGTGAATAAAAATGATTTACATAATACACTGTTGTTTATTATTTTACACAATAAATGTTGAGTGATTTATATGTCCCAATACTGGGATGAAGTAAACATAATTTCTTTTTGTGGGAAGTCTACAGGTTTATTTTTACTGAAATTTTAGCAAGTGGTATTTTAATTATGTTGCATTAAACCTTTTAAAACTTCAGTTTTTAATTAAATAGAATTTCAACTTAATAAATACTTATTTTTAAATGTTTAGCAATCTCTGGAGGTCTGGAGAAAATACCAGGATACAACATTGTTGCCTGCTTCAAAGAAATTAACTTATGAATCTCCTTTTAGGCATTATTGTCTTTTGTTATATGCCAGTTGAAAATGTTGGGAAAGTCCTTTTCGGTGCTAAATTTACTTATTGAGATTAGATTTTTCCCATGTTGTATCTTAAGTTTTGCAGTCAGTATTCTAAGAAACAAATAGTGGTATTAAAACTACTGCTTTGGGCTTTGTGTGCTTGACCTTACTCTTAGTGTTTGGACTTGTCTTTTGTAGAACAACAGTACTTTGAGATAGAGAAGAGGTTGTCCCAGAGTCAGGAGAGGCTTGTGAATGAAACCCGTGAGTGTCAGAACTTGCAACTGGAGCTTGAGAAGTTAAGTAAGTATTAAATTATATCTTTATAACTGTTCTTGGGTGTTCCGTTTGTATAGCATCACATAGGCAGGGAGCCTGTCCCACGTGGAAATAGGTTTTGCAGGCAGCAAAGCCCTAAACAGGGTTACAAACAAGGTAAGGACACACCCAGCTCCAGACTTCCAGAGGCCAACTGACCACTGCCTAAGTCCTGTATGAATTTCCTCACTCTAAATGCCCTTGGGGCCTTCCAAACATCTGCCTCCATCCAGACCACAAACACAAGTGTTTTTAGTCTAATTTGATGATGACAAGAGACCTTGGACTCACCCCTCTCCCAGTACTCCCTCACAAAGAATCTTATGAAAACCTTCTGATGTCTCCGAGAGAGCTGCAACTTTGCTTCATACCCGGGGAGTACTGAAGACTTTCAGCTCTCGGCCTTTCTCAGCTCCCTCTCCTAAAATTAACACATTGTTCTTTGTGGGCGTTGGCTTACAGTATGAGAAAGTGCTCTGTGGGTGTTGCAGTTTGTGTTCATAGTTTGTTTTTCATTAGCAAGAAAGACCTGGCAAAGACATAGGTTTCCCAGCCAGGAGCACTGATTTCTAATTCTGACTTTGTTATTAAAAGTGGTTTCACCACACACACTATCGTGCAGTCTTTTTTAAAAGGATGAAAATTACCGCGTGCGTCTTTTTCCATAGCTTTGCATCAAAGGTACTTTTGATAGTGTTTGAAGTAGCTAAATTGTATACCTAAAGGTTAAAATAGTGATTTGCTTTCCTGTTGAAAATTGAAATCTACTGATTTCGTTATACTGTTACAACATTTATAACTACGACTTCCATGTATTTCTTCTGTAATGCCGAATTAGTGAGAGTGACCTTAGTTATAGACTATAGAGGATGTTGCATTGTGTACTGTTAGAACACTCCTAACTACAAGTCCCATCATATTTCTCCTGTAATGCCTAGTTATTGAGAGTGATCTTAGAGACTGTAGAGGATACTGCAGTGTGTACTTTGCTTATAGCAGAAGAAAACTTGAGAAAAAGCCTTAAAAAGGCCTTTAAATATAGTTTGATTTGATTTGACTTCCTAGATAACACAAGAAGCTTATAATCAAGTCATTAAATAGATTTCATGTTTTCTCTGGCAGTTTAGTTTTTGATTTCTTCAGCAACTTTTGATAAACTAGCACTTAAAGATGTGCATTACACACACACTTGTGTGCACACACGCATGCACACATGTTACTTTTCCTCAACAAAGCATAGTAAAGCCTTCCCAAACATGGTGCTAAAGGGTTTTAGGAAAATGACTGATTACAGCCTCTTTTATGAAGTGTTTAGAAAGGCAGGAATGAACGTAGAGATGAGGTCTTTCTTGGTGTGGACAACTGTATTTAAGGTGTGGATATAATTGCACATGTGTCCATCTGGAAGGTATTAAATAAAACAAAATAGGAAATTTAGAAACAGTTTTTTTGTTTTCCTTTTTTTAAGGATGCAGTTTTTAAAAAATGCTAAATGGGGAGATGGTTCAAGTGATTAAGAGCACTATCTGTTCAGTTCTCAGCTCCTAAACCTTCTAAAATTCTAGCCCCAGGGTACGTGATAATTTCTCGCCTCCTTGGGCACATGCACACACATGGCATCCACTTAACTCTGGCACACACATAAAGATGAGTCTTTGTAAATTACTCTTCATAGTGTAGCATTCACTTGTTTCCTCTTTGAGGCAAGGTGTTCCTAGGTTGTCTCACCTTGTAGGCTACACTGGCTTTGAACTTGTAGCTATCCTCCTACCACTGCCTCCCAAATGCTAGGATTATAAGTGTGTGCCACTACACCTGGCTTTAGATGCTTTCATGAAAGAAATTTTCAAGTGTTTATTTTTTCTACATAACCCAGTGTTCTAAGGAGGAGAATTGAGTATATGGGAAGATATACGCATCATGAGTGCAGACGGAGTACAAGCATAATTCTTTCTTCTTTGGACAAGCATGCTTTTTAGTGATTTTAAAAAAACACAGAATTTCAGATATTTATCAAGATATGTAATGAATGTGTTTTATATAGTTCAAATTATGTCCTGAACTTAAATAGAAAATGCATTGAAAAACTGACATTGCTAATTATACTACAGATTGGGAGTAGAATTATTATGTCTGATTGTAGCATATTTAAACTTTTGGTCTGGAATACAGTAAGAACAGAATTATTCACAGATTTGGAATGTGGTTATAGATAAATCTTTATGAACTCCAGTTCTTCATTTTGAAAATGTATAATGGTGGCATTTGCGTAAAAATTCCAACTTTAAGTTAACGAATCTGTGTGCATTACATTCCTTCTCTCTAGATAACCAAGTAAAAGTGTTAACTGAAAAAAACAAAGAACTTGAAACTGCTCAAGATCGTAATCTAGGCATTCAGGTAAAACACTGTCCATAATGAAGCTGATTGCAGTTATGGTACTTAAAGGTTTTCTCATCTGCTTTTATGTATTAGAAGAAGGTGTAATGTTCCACGAGAAGCTGCCAGCATATATGTATGTAGAATGTGTACATACAATTTCTCTAAATTGATATTTGATGTATTATCTTTTGACTGGCAACCATAGCCCAGCATTTAACATGTTTTGATGCAGTTAGGTCCAGAGCTTGAATCCCTAAAATCCGCGTAAATGTTGGGTGACTGTGGCTGCTATTTTATAATTTCAGGGCAGGAAGGACG